TTATGACCACATTTTAGACTAAGTGAAAAAAGACAAAAATATCGGAAGATGTGAAAATAAATCAGTGTATTGATTTCTAATGCCATACTTACATAATTTTATTTAAAGCTTCACAATGTGTCACAGTAATGTTTTTGAGTTCAAACAGCTTCATTTGGGGGGAAATATTGATATGAGTAATTGTTTGTGATTAAATCAGCATACATTTCTGCCACTCCCGTATAGTCTCCATGCCACCCTCTGGACACCCCATGAATATTTTTCTAGATCTGCCCTTGAGGTCAGAACGATGGACAGCCAGAACAAACGTTTGAACAATACACTGTGGAATCTTAAAAAAATATCTGTGATGTATTTTTTTTTTTTTTTAAAGGGGGGGTGGACTGGACAGCCGTCATGCGCACTACAGCCGTGTGTGATGAACTTTATTGATAATGAAAACTATATGCTGAAATCCAAAGATTCTTCCTGCTGCGAACTGTGTATGGAGAAAATAGCCCACTTTGTGTTGTCTGTGTTGTACTTTTTTCGGCTGTTTTCTCCTTCGTTCTTATTATGTTCTGTCTGCATATAGCCTACTGTAGTGAATGTTTACCTGCAGGTCTGGTTGTTTTGGTGTCAAAGTAGCCGAATGTAACATTTTATATCCGGAATGAGAGGTCTGCTTTACAGAAGCTGGTCTTCACAAACACAACAGTCTATTCCAGCCTTGATTGGAATTTTTTGTGTTATTTTTTTGCTGAAAAAAGATGATATTCGTTTTTATTTTTTATTTTCTATTACACACTCATTTGAAAATATGTCCATTTAAATTACAGGCACATTTGGATTTTTCCAGAATCAACTTTTAGCCTAAATCCCTTTAAATAATTCACATATGTTCCAAACAACCGTCCGGCCAGAGCATGGACCTACAGGCTACCGTGTGGAAAACAGGCAACGTTTGAATTGTTGTTATCAAAGACCATTATATTCTTATTTATAATACAAGAACATATACAGCCATGTGGAGACGGGGCTCTGGAGTGTTTACATAACTTATTTTTCCTGCAATAACTTTGTTTGAACGCCACATCTGACGGGCCTCTGTCGGGTAGAACCCGCATGGATCCAAACCAAATCGTGGTCTTACGATGCTGTGAATGTTTTTTTCTTCTACTACTACTTTTCTTGCATTCAGTCACAAACCTGGACAAGCGTCTGCCTTAAAAGTGATGTAAATACAAGCTAAAAACATATTTACAGTGTTTTAAAGAAAGAGCAGCTGTGTTTTCTATAATAGGATTTTGACATCAGGATTTTTAGAGATAAAATAATGAGTTCAGTATTTTACATTCCCCCCTACACTCTCAGCTGAAGTTCTCTTTTATATGACCTGTAAATAATTTATATCATAATGGTGTGATGGTAAATAAAAGACAACAATGCAAATGTGACTTTACAGAGGTAAATTTTTATTATATAAGCCAAAACACACAACATAGAAAAAAACACACATTTTTAGTATTAAAGGTGAAGTTGATTTAAAGAGTCTGCGGATGGTTTTATTGAAATATCTAGGTAATGACTAGCATAACAAGAGCTGAGGACGGCAGACACAACATGGAGGAAACTGCCAGTCATCAAAACTTCATTCTCAACACTAATGACCTTGCTTTGGTTTAATACTGCATTTGTCACCAAAAGTATTTCAGCCTCATAATTTACTTGAAGCCCCCTCCAGTCAAAAATATTTTTTTCTTGTTCCTAGATAGTGTGTCCAGCAGAAAGAAGTAACCATGGCTATCCCTGACTAAACACTCATTTGTGCTAGCATTATATAAGGGGAATCCCTGATTGTAAGGCAGGTGCCTTCAAATTTAAAGCCCCCCTTGAGTTTTCCTTCTTGTTCCTACAGTGTGCCGTTTGAATGATGTGCAGAGTTTGACTCTAGAAGGATGTTTTCACAATCATCTGCCTAAAGTGGAAAGTTTCTCTGTGCTCATTAAAAGTCTGATTTTAATGGGTGGGGCCTGCCAGCATGATTTGCGACATCACAAATAGTTTGGAAGTCAACCCTGGTCCAGTATGCAACTTTAGAAATGAATAACATTTGCATATTCATAGATTCAGGAAGTTTTAATGAGTTAGAAGTAGTAGATGCCAGTAGTAGTAGATACATTACTGCCCCAAGTAGATGATTTGTATGCATGTCCTAATACATTAGGGGATCTTTTATTTAAAAAAATAATAAAATCAGTCATTTAAGGTGTCAGTTCTGCTATATTTCTATCTATACAGGGCCTGCAGGTCAATAACTCATGCAGTTATTTAACCACTATTTCCTTAACCAGCAAAAAAAAATACAATCATGACAAAGTTTTTGTACACAATTTTTACTTTAACTGGCACCACTTTAAAGTGAACATGAAGAATATTAACCAGACTGTTAATGAACGTTTTCTTACAAAGTGTACACTAATATAACAAAAATGTATGTCATGTGATTGATATCAGACTGAATGCATAGCTGCCCCACATGTCAATTAGGGCAATGCTCTGCGTTGAGAACACTGTGACATAAGCAGGTGCATACATAAAACATACAGTACATTCATTTATACATTCGGGAAAAAGTGCATTTTACTTGCAGTCATTTTCCTTATTCTGATTGTGATGAGAGGTCACAGATCTTACATGTTACTAGTTAAACATAAATGTGACAAGATGCAGGAAACCAGGATTATGGATCCACTGTGCTTTAAGAATGGAAGGATCAGTGGGAGCTGATTGCTGTGACCCAAAACAATTGAACACATGTAACCACTTGGTTTTAGTGGTTTAGAGCTTTTTTTGCTTATATTTTAATTTGCGTGACTAGTAACAGAGTGTCTTAGTCAATTTAAATGAGTTTTTCCCTTTCCATGACTTTACACCATAGAGTATTGAAAATCCTCCTCTATTTCTGCTCCATTAGGACTCAGCGCTATAATACTAAAGTGTCATATATGTCACATATGATGCTACATTGGGCTTTATTACTGCAAAGCAGTGAATTTAGTAGTGGTAAAATTTTGGGGAATTTGTCACCCAGAACTCAATGCTGGCCTCATGATGGCCTCACAGATGCCCTTTTAACCTGACATTATTCCTCAGTGATCAGTTGTGTTCTAATTCTAAAGTGGGTTTCATATTGTGTTTGTTGCTTACTTGTGTAAAAAAAGACTTAGTTGAAAGTAGAAGTACTGATTCTTTACTCAAGTAAAAGTGAAAAAGTACTCAAACTATAAAAGTAAAAAGTACTTTCTTGTACTTTCTCTGAAGGACATTTCTACCATCTGTTAATGTGCAATGCTGAATGAAATGTTTTGTTACGTTGTTACGCCTTTTACATCCTTTTCTGCGTTTTCTTCATGTTACGTCTGTCATGCAATGGTGAAGAAAATAATCAAATTACCCTCAAATGCATTAAAACTAAAGTAAGGAGCTCGTTTTGAAAGTATAAGGAGTAGAAAGTACAGATATTTGTGTAAAAAAGTAGGCGGTAAAAGTAATAAGTTGTCAAAAAAAGAATAATAAAGAACATATTACATGTTACATGAAAATATTTATAGTATTTGTACTTCATTACTTTCCACCTCTGCCTATCTTATACACAAAGTTATGACACAAAGTTTGGGAAATTTGGAAACTCCAAGCCACTCAGTCATTACTTTGATTTGAGAAAAGTCACACGACAGACAGAACTTTGCAGCTTACAACATGCATGGCTAAGACTTACAAAAGCTAAAAGCTGTGAAGTCAAAAAACCTGATAAACCTCCTCCTCTCCACAACAGATCCAGCAACCAATGGTGTCGCTGAAATCTCAGAACTTTACACACACCTGTTCATTTCTGTGTGCTGTTTACCTGAACATCTGAGCGATGTGGAGAAACAGTCGAGAAAAATTAAACAGAGAGGGAGAGAGAAACATGGAGGGTAGAGGGAGATCCATCAACTAAAAGTGAGAGAGTTGTCTGTGACTTGTCCATTGGCAGCGGCAGCAGCATTGACCTGGACTGTGAATGGCAGCAGGAGCCCTCATCTGCATTTCCTTTCTTAGCTGGCTTGTATGTGGAAGTAACGCCCAACGGTCCCTGACTTGATGAGCCGAGCTCCTCTTGACTCGAGTGAGGAAAAGGGGGGAGACGCTGTGAGCTGGGTTTCTATGCACAGTGTGGGGCTGTCAGTCCAAAGGGGGTGTAGGGGGTGTGTGT